CAGTTTGCCGACCATTCTAGCAGAACCTAAGAAAGCAGGTGTTGCTGGGCCTCCTCGGGCTCTGTAACAAGAAACAGAGGGGGCACCAACAGCCAAGGAAACCCTCTGGCCCTCAACTCTCCTTTTCTCTCCTGGGCCTGGGGGTTCCCTCTTTCTGCTCATTTGCTTTATTCTTCCCTCTATGCAACCTACCTTTCTCTGCCTCTCCTGGGTTTCACAAAATGTAGCATGTAAGGTCAAGTACAAGAGCTATGTCTACCATGTACCTTTCCCTGATAATGCTCCTTATTCAATAGTCACTCACTCAATAGTTATCGTAATACATACTGAAAGGCGTGATGGTCATTTGTATTAGTTTGCTGGGGCTGCCATAATAAAGAACTACAGACTGGGTGGCTTACACAACAGAAATTTATTTGCTCACAGTTCTGGAGCCTGGAAGTCGAAGATCAAGGTGTTTGGCTTCTCTGGTGGCCTCTCTGCCTGGCTTGGAGATGGCCTCTTTCTCGTTGCACCATTCCTCTGTGTGTGTGTTTCCCTGGTGTCTCTTTGTGTGTCCAAAGGATTAGGACCCACCCAAATGGCCTCATTTTAACTTAATAACCTCTTTAAAGACCTTATCTCCAAACAGTCACATTCTGATGTACTGGGGGGAGAAGGGGAGCAGGAAGGGGTTAGGGACTCAACATATGAATTTTAGGGGGATGCCATTCAGCCCATAACACCAGTGGAGACAGGGCTGAACAAGACACATGGGATCTTTGTCTTCTTGCTGTTGGACAGCCTGGTAGAGAAGACAGATATTACACAACCATTTCCATGGATACATAATTAATTACCATTGTGGGATGGTCGAATGGGATACATGGTACTTGACAAGATCGTCTGGTGTTGGGGAGTTGGCCAGGAAAGGCCTCCCTGAGGAAGTGAGATTTGTAGGAAGGATGCATGGGCATCAGCCAGGTGAAGAGGGAGGGCTGAGTATTCTAGACAGAGAGCTCAGTGTTTGTGAATTTCAAGTAGTGGGAAAGGACAGACATAGGAGGAATTGAGGAATTCAATGTGACAAGGAGCGGTAGGAAGGCACCAGGAGGTCAAATGGGTCAGATTACAACGGATAGTATGTCTTGACCTCTTCGAGTCAGTGCTTATTACATCCTGCCTTGGACTGTTCTAAAACCTTTTTGTGTGTGTGGGATGTATGTTTGGCTTCTCCTCATGCTCCTTTAGGGAGGAGATCCTTTTGACTCCTTCGTAGTCTGCCCAGTGTGCAGCATAGGCCTGGGGACATAGTAGGTGCTCAGTAAATAAGTGCAGTGGCTGTAATGAGAAGTGAAATTGATAGAAGCACTTTTTATTCGTCTAATTTAGGGGCTAACCCAAGCTTAGTGGGTGTGCTATTCCTAGAGGCTCTAAAAGGTGAGGACTTTTGGTACTATGATGCCACCTAGTGTTCCTTTGTATGACAACAACAAAGGGGCTCAGGTTGGAGGGTTTTTCAGTAATCTGAAAAATCAGAAGCGAAGCATTTTCTCTCATTAGCATATATTAATTTGTCCAACCACCCATGCTCTCATCTAGCCATTCATCCATGTTTATGTCCACATGCATATCCTTCCCGTGAGTTGAACATGCCACATTCCACCTCCTGTGGTTCCCTGATTTCCCATGCTCGGGTCTTTCCTTCCCCACCGTATAAGTAATGCTTTCAAGTATCAGTGTTTAGATTTTCTGAGCACCTGTGTGCTCTCTGTTGACATGGCATGTTCTAAATGATACCACCATATTGTGTTAGAATTGCAGACTTCTCTTTCTTCCTTTCCCCCAGTGGAAAGGGAAGTGGCTCTGCCTTAGTCACGGCTGTGGTTTTTTGCCTGCCTGTGCCTGCATGTAACAGGTACTTAAAAAGAGTGTTTTCTTGATTGGATTACTGTTGCCTCGGCAGGCCACCTGCTTGTGCAATGATCTTTTAAGAAATAACTAGGAGACCAGAAGACACAGAGCCCCACAAGAGTATAAGAAATGGATGGCTATTTCACTCTGATGGTATGATCTTTAGGAATGTTATGGAGACCCTCTAGAATCATGGTGATCCCACAGTTGGTGGTCCCAATGTGTTATCAGGTTTCCCATAAACATACAAGTGACCCAAGACCTGATGCTTGCCCAGCTCCACCTCATTTCTATTAGTGTGGCTTACAGTTTGGTTCAGCCTGCTTTTTCAGCTTCATTTGACACCTCTCCCACCACCTCCCTGCACATGATGCCTCAGCCATATTTTGTTCTGTTTGTCCACTAGATAAGCAGTCTCAGTTCATGAATAAGATATCATGGTATAAATGTTAATTTTTCCAACATTAATTCAGAAAGTCAATGATGTTTCCAAGTAAAATTTCTCACGAGGAACTTGAACAACATAAAAAAAATTATATGGGATGGTAAAGGTTCATGAACAGCTAATGCAATTTTGACCAAGGAAGTAAGGTTGTGGGCCTTGCCCTTTAACCATGACAACTAATATGCAAATTGTCCCCTCCACCAGGAGTTTGATGGGAGTTTGAACAGGGGGCAGAGCCGCTGGCCAACTGCCCAGAGCCCCTCCCCCCTAGCCCAGGGCTGGCGGGGGAAAAGGGAGGCCCCAGCTGGCAACTAGCAGCTGCTAGGGACCATACCCATGCATGAATTTTGTGTACTGGTCCTCTAATAAAAATTTAAAAATATTAAAAAAGGGTTACAAAATTAAGGATCATTGTTCTACAAAAAACATTATAGACAAAATGTCCAGTCTTTGAAAGCAGATTAATATCCAGATATTACAAAGGTTTTTGGGAAATCAAAAAGAAAAAGACCAATAGAAAAACAGGCAAAGGTATTAATAGACAGTTCACAAAAAGGGAATGCATATATAAAGAAACTAGAGCCCCGGTGCATAAGATTAATGAGGGGTCCCTTAGCCCACCATGTGCCCTCTAGCAATCCAGGAGCTCTCGGGGGATGTCCGACTGATGGCTTAGGCCCACTCGCCAGCTGTGAGCCATGATCCATGAGTCTGGCTTCTGACTGAGTGGTGCTCCTGTGTTCTGGCCCCTGGTGGTCAGCATGCATCATAGCAACCAGTTGTTCCACTGTTCAGTCTATTTGCATTTTACCCTTTTTCTATATAGGAGGATTTATTATATAGGATCTCAATATCACTAGAAGTTAGAGAAATGCTAATTAAAAATGTGTTGATGCTATTCAATATTGACAGAAATTTTTAAAAATTGGCTAATTAGATGAGTCAATTTTTATAAAGCACTTAGAATATTATCTGGCACTTAGTAAACACTATATGAATTTTTAAATAAGTAACTACCACATGCTGACAAGGATGGGAGTGGCGGACAGAAACCCTTACACTAGAGTGGAGGGCAGCAATTGTGGTGTGCAATCTAGCAGGACTTGGTGAAGGTAAGTACTCAGGCTTCCATCAAGCTGCTAGACAATTTCGTGGCGTTGGAAAATGGAGTTCACCGCTGGACACGTGAATTTGAAACAGGCATAACTTCTGGGTGGTCAGCCTTCTAGGTTCATGACTTGACTAGGGAACAGAGCTTTTGTGGGAAGAAAAGGAGACATCTTCCTCCAGGAGGGCACATTACAGAAGAGAGAGCTGGGGCTGCTTTTCAGCCCCTACTGGCCTCCTGGCTGGATGTCTCTATGCAGGACAAGTTGCATAAGCGAATGCTATGACCCTGTGCATTCCCTATGACTGTAACAAGCTCACTCCTAGGTATATGTTTCAGAGGAATTTGCACATGGATCTATAAAGGACCACAGACAATCATCACTGCATTGTTTGTTGGTGGTATTAGAGATGCGGAGGCAGCCTTGGTATCTTCCACTTGGGAGGTAGAAGTGAAATGTGTGGGTGTCCAATACAGGGTCCTGTGCAGCAATCAGAAGCAATGAACTGGGATGACCACACCCACTGCAACAGGGATAGATCCTGAAAAGGAATGTCAAGTGAAAAAAAAAAGTAGAAAATAAGATGGCCCCTAAAGTCTGATACCATTATCAAACACAAATGCACTAATAAAAGTGATATACATACTTCAAATTCCATAGCCCAGCACAGTAGCATGAATGCCAAGAGGCTAAGGATGAGGGTAGGATGGGGGTAAAGGGAAAAAGTAGAACTAGAGGGGTCTTTCATGATTTATGAAGAAAGAGAGGGGGAGAGAGAGAGAGAGAGAGAGAGAGAGAGAGAGAGAGAGAGAGAGAGAGAGAGAGAGAGAGAGAGAGAGAGAAATACCTTGAGAGAAGAGCAGATTTTCACAATGTGGTTCAAAGACGTTTTCCCAGGGTGTCTTGAACTCTGCACCCTATTTTTTTCTCACACCATGGACCAAACTCTTTAGAGGCAGAGCCCGTAGTTTCTCTCTCTTCCCTTTTCCTGCCTGTGTTTTACACACACTAACTGCTTCCTAAGGGGTGGAATGGGCTTGAATTGAGATGATTTCTTGTTCCCCAGACAGAGTCTCTGTCGCAGAGGGTGGCTGCCCGCCCTCCCCCATCCAGAACCATCTGGTCCACACGTCCCCATAAGCCTTAGTCTTTGGGCTCTGCTCTGCTGGCTCCCTGCCCCTTCCACAATCCCCTTTCCTCGTCGTCTCCAGCCACTCGCCCTCCCCTTTCTCTTGGCAATTCCCAACGTCTCTGCACACCCTGGGACTCCGCCTAGCTTCTCATTTCCATGGCCCAGCCCCATTTGGGAGATTTGCATATTTCTAGGCAGCACGTGGCCCCCGTGGGAGCCTCAGGGGCGCCTCCCCCTTCGAAACTCCGTGGCGCCCGGAGAGAGCGTGGCGGTTGCTAGGCGACGGGAGGACGCCCCGGCGTCCGCGGGCGCCGCTTGCCCCCGGCCCGCCCCCCCACCCCCCGCCGGAAATAGAAATATTGTGGCGTGGTTTTAGACGCTGGGACCAGTGCACAGCCCTTTCCTCCAAAGCCCACCGGGTTTCTGCGACCTCCACCGCAGCCTCGGAGGCTGCCCGCAGAGAGCGTCAGGATGGCCGAGGTCAGGAGGCAGCGCCCCTCTCCGTCGCCTCTCTCTCAACCCTCTTCTCCCCCCTCTACCCTCCCTGTTCCTCTCCTACTGTCCACTTAACCTCTGTCAGACCCTCGGATTCCAGTATTTTCCCCATTAATATCCTAACCTCACCCCACCCTCCCCTGGCCCAGTTGGCTCTGGCCCCTTGACCTCCTGTCCCTCCTTCAATTGGGTGGATTCCCCTCCCCTCTATCTCCCCTCCCACCCCCCACCTCCAACTATTACATTGGCGCAGTGCTAGGCCCGGTAGGAAATGCAAGACTGGCACCCACTCCTACATTTTGAGCCGCAAGAAAGAGACATATAGATATATAGATGGCCCACGGACTGATGGGACCTTCAAGAAGGCTTAGGAGATATCTCCTGTAACTCTTATTCACTGACTCTTGTATACCTGTCACACCATGATTCCCTATCACTTAAGCACCTTATGTGACACATCTTCATTAAGTACTTCACCCATCACCTCTGCCCTGTGTTATCCTTGGCCATTGTGTTATGATCTTGTGGCCTTTATTCACTCTCCAACCTTGTAGCTCACCCCATCTTCAGCCTCACTGATGAGGGGTAATCTCTGCAACCCTTCAAAGACAGCTGTCTGCCCATTAGCACCCTCATTTGTAACTTCGATGGCTGGTCCCTGTCATCACTTGCCATGCATAGTCCTCGTCCACCAAGGCCCTACAGAATCCTTCGTGGCCCTATCAGAGCTCTCCCCCATCTCACCCATCACGTGGTCAGTCCCATTGAGGATCAGCTACAGGATTTGTGGGGCTCAATGAAAAATGAACATTCAGAGCCCCTTGATAAAATTTATTAAGAATTTCAAGATGAGACAGTAAAGTAGTAAAATGAGGCCTGTCTGAGCAAGGGGCCCTATGCAACCCATGAGGCCAGCCCTGGTCCCAGCTCCTGTCACCACCATCATACTCCCACCCCTATTGGTTCCCATGTCTCCTCTACACCATTCACATCCCCTCAGCATGCCTCGTCCTCCATGTCTAATCTCCCCTTCTAAACTCCATCTTCCGTGGCCAAGAGTTCCCTCTCCTTATCATGCAATCTCTTTCATACCCTCTATCTTCCTTCTGCCTGGGCTCCATCATCTCTTGTCTCTCTCATATCCATACTGCTGGGGCCATATTTCTTTTCCCCACTACTCCCACTTATTCATATTTTCTTCCCATCTTCTCCTCCCGTTCCTTCTAAGTCTCCCTTTTCCTTGTTTTGAGTATTTCCTCCACCCTCCACTACTCATTGGTTTATTTCACTCTTCTTCATTTTCCATATATTAGCTCCAGATACCAATATTATGAAATAATTACTTCCCAGTCTTCTTTTCCTATCATTATCTCCCCTTATTCTTTCTATTTTTCTTCTCACTTGATCTCAGCCAACTTTTTCTCATCTCGGCTTTCATAAGTCTTAATTCCCACTCTGGCCTCATTTTTCATTGTGGCTCTTTCCCTTTTCCTTCTCCCCATTGATTGCTATTCCCAGCACATATCAATAGAACAGTGTCTGGCAGATAGTAAACATTCAATTGAAAGGTGTTGAATGAAGAAGCAACAAGGTTCCTTTCTGATTAGTTCCTGTTGAAACTATGCTTCCAAAATAGATAGCTTTATATGCCAACTGGTTGTTGGTCACAGTCAAGAGACATTTTTTGCTTTCCTCTTAATAGTATATTTAAAAAATAGAAATATCAACACATTTCTTTTGTTCATCCAAATTTCTTTAAAACTTTTCTTTCTCCGATATTTCCCTACTCCTGTGCTAAGGGCCAGGTGTGCAGGGAAAACCTGGTCTGCCAATAAATCATTAGGCTGGTGATCAAGTGTTGACATTAATACCATTTACAGGGATGGAGCTGAGAACATTGCCATGATGAATTTTTGGGTGTGCTCATGTTTAGCATCAACAAGGGGAAAGCACAGAGCAGCAGCAGCTCCATATTTCCTTAATATGGCTTTTTCCTCCTTTGTGGAATTGCAATAATCTGCTTTTAGTCAGGAAGAAAACTTCTGTTGAATTTAACATTGTTATATGAAATGTTATAGATATGCTCGTAACTCAGAAATCTGTTTTAAGATGTGGGCTCTGTTTTGCTTGCATGCCATCTTTAGAAATGAATCAAGGGTACGAGTGTTTTTGAAAACCAAAAATATGTAGAGTTGCCTTGGCTTGGTGCTGCAATAGTCTAATCTCTGCCTCTGTCTTCACATGCATTTTCCTGTGTGTGTCTGTGTCCAAATCCACACCCTACCCACTGGTTTTGATTGAGATATAACTAATATGTAATATTATATTTGTTTTGGGTATACAATATAATGATTTGATACATGTATTGTATATACTGAAAAATGATTACCACAGTAAATTTGGTTAACATCCATTACCCCACAAAGCTATAATCCACTCAGCCTCCTTTTATAAGGTCACTTGGGTTAGGATACACCTTTCTCCAGTATAACCTCAACCTAACTAATTATATATGCAATGACTTTTATTTACAGATAGAGTTAGATTAAAAAGTACTGGGGTTAGAACTTCAACATAACTTTGTGTGTGTGTGTTTGAGGCAGGGGCCACTATTCAACCCATATGCTAGTAACTAACTCCTAGGTTCTCATCTAAATCATAGCCAGGCTTGCTTGAATCACATTTGTATATCTGGGCTGATAGTTTTAAGAACTTGTCTACATAATCATGGAAAAGGCCCATGAACATTGCACAGGGAGCATTTCTGTATACTTGTGGAGATGACCTAATTTTCTTAAGGGATAAAAATGATGGAATATTTTGTAGGAGACTCATTGCATATTTCTTATGGGTTTCACCATGAGTATGTGTGATTTCATGGTATTTATACCAAATTTTCCTATGTCTGAACTCAACATGCTGTGGACTCCCTCTGCAATCCTCAGGGCAACAAGAAGTAGGATGAAATGAAAACAGATCAGGGTTTGGTACAGCTGTACATTGTAACAGCTATAAAAATTTTTTGAGTGCCTACTGTTTGCCAGACACTTGGCTACATGTTGAACATGAATTATCCTATTTGATCCAATCCATAACAACACCATATGGTAGGAAATATTATATTCAGGGATGTTGGGCAAAAATAGGTTTACAATTGTTATACAAATAAATAGTACAATAATTAATAAATAATAATACAGGAATAAACTCTGTGTTTTGTGTACGTACAAATGTAAACCTACTTTTGTCCACCCTTGTATATCTTAATAGCATCAGGGGATGAACATCATATAGTTTTTCCCTTCCCAACATACAGTCTTAAATGTCCTAACTGTTCAGGGCTTTTAATTGGCTTGTCTGAAGGCCTTTTATTCGTAGATATTCACAGCAATTTTTGAATAGTCACGGAGTAAAGGTTGCAGTGCTCATTCCCATCCCTGCCCGTACAGGAAAAGAGTGACAAAGCAGTGCTGGAAGAAACTGCATTTGAAGAAATCGAAAGGGATTTTCACGAGGTTCTCAATGAACTTATAGGAGACAAAAGTCTGGAGAAATTTAGGCTTGAATATGAGAAGCTTCATGCTGTGATGAAAAAGTCTTATGAAAATGAAAAGCGTCTGATGGCCAAATGCAGAGAACTAAATGCAGAGATTGTGGTTAATTCCGCGAAGGTCGCCACTGCCCTGAAGCTCTCTCAGGATGACCAGACCACCATCGCATCCTTGAAAAAGGTCAGTGATCTTCTAGAGATGAGATCCGTGGAGAGCTGCGTCCTGTATGTAAATGCATCCTGTATTTAAAACATCATCTTTTCATCATATTGACAGCTCTGGGCTGATAGTAAATGAGTTAGTAAGGTAAAATTTACATGATTTATGTATTCATTAAGCCTAGGGAATAATGTTCATTTTCAGAGGAAAGACTTAGGCTGGATGAGTTTTACTGTTCAGAAAATAATGTAAAACTTCACTGGCCTGGTTTCGAAAAACTATTGGGCTAGCCAAAAGAATTAGAGGCAAGTAAGAGCAATATTCGGGATCTTAGCATGTCTATGTCTTGTTTGATACAAGATGAGTAATTAAATATCTCATAATGATAGCTTGGTAAAGATATTTCCATTTTCCCACTTTTTTTTTTTGTTTCTTACTGTTTTAGGAGATAGTAGCTTGAAAATACTCAAATAGTAATGTTCATATTTCCTCTTAGCATCTCTTTGCTTCTGCCTTGATCCTCCCAGTTCCTCAAAATGGGAGAGCAGGGATTTGGTCTGGCTTTGTCTTACACTTTCTTTTTCATCCTGAAGCGTGTTGCATTATTTTGAAGGTAAAACATAAATGTTCCATGTTGATTTTAGGGTGATAAGAGGTTAAGGCATCTTAATTTATAATGAAAACCCTAGTGATGAGAAAAAAAACCTCACAAACTTTTAAGAAATTCTTTTGATGTCATGATATTAAATGTCAGCCACTTCAAATAAATTTCCAAGACTAGTGCAAAATATGACATGTTTTCTTAGAAACAACTTTTTTTGAAGTGTTATTTTCTTCCCGTTGTCATTTCCTTCTTTGCTGAAAAATCAACATAAAGAAGGCTCCAGTTCATTTTATAATGAAAACACACACACCTTTTATTGAAAATTTAAAAAGTGGAAATGGAAGTTATGAATTGCTTAAAATCTAATTAGTGAAGTTGATTTGGACAAATCTTCGTATAATCATATTTTCATTTAAATATTCTTCTTATGTTTTGCTAAAAATAGTACATATGGTTGCTATCGAAAAAGATGTCCCAATAAAGTGACACTTTGTCTTAAATCACTGAATTGTAACCCAAGGGCCATCTCTTTCTGTTATAATAGCATGAATTTATTTAATTAAATTAAATTAAATACTTTCTACCACTCATTCTATTCCTTGTCAACATGAAAGTGGAATATTTTTTTTTACCTTAAGCCAACACGTTCTTACCTGCCTAAAAAATTCACATACTAATGGGTGAAATTTTGCAAGAAAATTAAGTGGCAGGGTAAAAACAAGACTGTTGCAATAGTTACTGTGCTTTGTTCATTAATTTGAAGGCTGTAGTTCACTTTTAAGTATTTATGTTAATATTCAACCATGCATTTCATAATAGTAGGGAAGCCAAAGCTACATGAGTCATTGCTGTGGGTTTTGTTCTTTCTTTATAATCATTTGATGGAAAGGCCTGGGCTTGAGTTTCTGGAAATGGGAATTACCAAGGCCCTTGTGCACAATTAGATCACAGCAAAGACCACTTTGCTATGGCTTGTTCTAAATTCACATGGCCATTAGGAGTCCGCTTGGAACCTAAGGACAAAATATATCTTTTAAAATTCAGAATCTATCAGGAGCTTCACAGTTAGGGCTTAGATCCAAGATCATTCCTTATGTGATAAAGTTTACTTAAAAAATCTGGACTTGGAAAGCACATAAGCTTTTCTATCTTGACATTTTTTAGCAGAAACATCCTCCTATGATAGTCACCCTTGAAGATTCTGAGTTTTGTAGCCACACTCACTAACACAAGAAAAAAAAATACCCTTTTCCAGTACCCCCTTAAAAACTGGTGTTCAGCATGGATTAGCTCATGTTGAATAATTCAGTCACTCAGTACAAATTTAAAGCACAATGTATACTATATGATCTTCTTTCCCCATAAATGACTACTGGATGGGAGTGGTTTTATTATTCTGTTTACCCAGTTCACCTTGCATCTGGAACCCTGTGTTTGAGTTTTCTCACTGATGTCCTGTGGCCCATCTAGGAAATTGAAAAGGCCTGGAAGATGGTGGACGCAGCCTATGATAAAGAGCAGAAGGCGAAGGAGACGATTCTTGCTCTGAAAGAGGAAATCGTGAACTTAACCAAACTAGTCGAGCAAGGGTCTGGCCTGACAATGGACCAGGATAGCAAGTAGGTCATAGCCTTTTGTATATTTGGATTTGCCTTTGTAGAGGACTCCTTCAGCAGACAGCCTGCGGTTTGCCGGTGTCACTTTGAACATGATATAAAACTCTTTCTTTTTTTCTGGTTTCCTAGAGATTGTTTTCTGTCTATTGCTATTTTTTCTTTTTAATACTGCCTTTCTCCCTGTACAAAACTCCTAATTTATGATTATATTAAACTTTTGGGTCTATAAGAATCAGTACTACAGTTTCAAAATGAATAAAGGTTTCTTTCTTTCAAATGTGTGTGGAAGGAACTGGCTGCTTTTTGGCTCTAATTTCCAGCTCCTCCCATGTACCACTCCCCACCCCACTTCTCTCCAATTAGTGGCATCACCATCCTTCTGGCTTCTCAGGTTCTTGGCCAGAAAACAGAGTTATTCTTCATCCTTAACCACTCCTTCTTCCCTTAAAACTTCGTCTTGCTTTTCTTTCTTTTCTTTTCTTTTCTTAAATATATTTTATTGATTTCTTACAGGGAGGAAGAGAGAGGGACAGAGAGTTAGAAACATCGATGAGAGAGAATCATCGATCAGCTGCCTCTTGCACACCCCCTACTGGGGATGTGCCTGCAACCAATGTACATGCCCTTGACCGGAATTGAACCTGGGACCTTTCAGTCTGCAGGCTAACACTCTATCCACTGAGCCAAACCGGTTTCAGCAAAAACTTTGTCTTGTTGATTCAGTCGTTCCCTCCCCGCTATCTCTAGTGCTGCTGCCTTGGTTTGGACCTCCCTTCCCCTGCTGGACTTGGTAGTAGACTCCTAGCTGGTTCCCCTGCCTTCAAGGAAATATCGCTTCACCATCTGCCACCTGCCAGGTTTATGGTGCTGAAACATGTACCTGCATGCTTCCATCCCCAGCAAAAACACCTTTGAAAATCTATCCATTCTGAAAGGATAAAGCCCCAAATCTTGAACGTGTTTTCTGGGCTCTTCATAGATGTGCCCCGGTTAGGCTGGCTCGATTCATGTCCAGCAACACCGTGCTTACTTGCCTCCACACCTTTGAACGTGTTGTTTTCTATGCCAGGAATGCTTAGCATGGATAGAAAAAATGGCAGTGTATGTTATTCTTTCCTTCTCCAGGCAGTACACAACTATGCATCCTTCAAGACCCATCTCAGACACTTTCTTAACTTCATGGCCATCAGCATCTCTATTCCAATTTCCCTCCCATCCCCAGATTCAATGACCAAGCAGAAAAATCACAGTTTCCATAGGATCTTCATATACCTCAAGTATGGCACTGATCACATTGAATTGAAATTAGTTGTTCATGTGCTTCTGTATCCATTAGTCTGTGAACCCCTTGATGTAAGACATCTTTACCTTCCCTTCAGGGGCCTAGCCCTGTGCATGCCATGCAAAACCTTGCATTACTCAGGAATGAATATGCACTTTCTTAGTCATCTTTAACCAAATGTAACTGCCATCTAGATTTCTTTTTTTTTAATTGATATTTTTATTTTTTATATTTTTAAAATAAATCTTTATTGTTCAGATTATTACAGATGTTCCTCTTTTCCTCCTCCCCCAATTGCTCCACCAGGTTCCCACTCCACCCTCTGCCCTTTCCCCACCCCCCATTGTCCTCATCCATAGGTGCACAGTTTTTGTTCAGGCTCTTCCCGCACCCCCTACTCCCCCTTTCCCCAAGAATCATTTCCCTTCCATACCTCTGATTCTATTATATTCACCAGTTAATATTGTTCATCGGGTTTTTTAATTCCCTTGTTGATAGTTACGTATTTGTTGATCATAATTTTTATCTTTATCTTCTTCCTCTTTTTTCAGCAATTCATATAATTCTGGTTTGGTGGTTAGCTTTTTTTTAAAAAATTTTATTTGTGAAGCTCTTTATTTGGCCTTCAATTCTGAGTGATAGCTTTGCTGGGTAGAGTATTTTTGGCTGTAGGTTCTTACTATTCATCACCTTGAATATTTCTTGCCATTCCCTTCTGGCCTGCATGGTTTCTGTTGAGAAATCAGCTGACAATCGTATGGGTGCTCCTGTATAGGTAACTCCCTGCTTTTTTGTCTTGCTGCTTTTAATAGTCTCTCTTTGTCTTTTGCTCTTGGAATTTTAATTATGATTTGTCTTGGTGTGGTCCTCTTCGGATTCCTTTTGTTTGGGGTTCTGTTCTTGGACTTGTAAGTCTATTTCTTTTCCCAGGTGGGAGAAGTTTTCTGTCTCTATTTCTTCTAGTATTCTTTCGGTATCTTGCTCTCTCTCTTCTTCTGGGACCCCCATAATTCTGATGTTGGTTCATTTGAAATTGTCCCAGAGGTTTCTTACACTATCTTCAACTTTCTGGATTCTCTTATCTTCTTGCTTCTGTGGAGGAGTGTCCTCTGGCTCTTTGTGTTCCAAATCTCTGACTTGATTCTTGCGATCTTCCATTCTGTTTTTAGGACTCAGTATAATATTTTTTATTTTAGACAATGTATTCTTTATTTCTAGTTGATCCCTTTTCATATCCTCATAGTCTCATTTATTTTATCTGCCTTTTCTAGGAAATTCTTGAAAAACTTTATAAGCGTGGTTTTGAACTCTATATCCAGTTGCTTCTTGTTCTCCATTTCTTTTGTTTGTGATCTGTTTCCTTGTCTTGGCATTTTCTCAGCTTCCCTAAGTTGGTAGGGTGGCTTTGTGTGCTAAGGTGTCCTATATGGTTCAGTGGGTCAGCCTCCCAGTGACCTGAGGTGGACAGTCTTGGTGTAGCCCTTTGTGAGCTGTATGTGCAGTCTTGTTGTTAAGCCTTGCTTGTTGTTGGTATCACTGGGAAGCGTTGATCTCTAAGCCAATTGGCTATGAGGATCAGAAGTGTCTCAGCTAGGAGGGTTTCTGTATTCTGCTTGGATGGGGCAGAGTCTTTGGGTGGCACAGACAAGCCTTGGTGAATCCCGCAAGATTGGTTGCAGGTGCAAGCACCCCTTTGGTATAGGTGCAGACAAGCTTTGGATTCCTGTCTGTCCCTCCCTAGGAGAGTCCTATTCGCGGCGAACAAGAAAGCTAGCCACTGGAAGGGCTTCTGTGCTCTGCTTGGATGGGGCAGAGTCTCGGTGTGGTGCAGACAAGCTTTGGTTAGCCCCTCCCTATGAGGGTCTGGTTTCTGAGTCCCGCAGTAATGGCTGCTGGCTTCATACACCTCTGAGAGATCTCTGCCCACTGCCTGACTGTCTGGCCTCTCCCTGTCTGGGGCCGTCTATCAGCACAATAGGGTGGTTCTGTTTTCCTCCCAATCAAGAAAGCTAGCCGCGGATTAGCTGTCTGCCCTCTCTATGCACAGGGAGTAAGCCAGTAGCGAACCCAGCCTGCCCTCTCTGCACTCCACAAGCATGCCAGCAGCGAAGATGGGTGGCGGCCTTTTCACACGCAGTTCACCGTACCTTCACAGTTCCTGTGGTTCAGGATGCCTTCTCTCTCCTTCCCAGATGGTAGAGCCTCCTCTCAGGCAGCCGTCCGGTGCTTCGGGGTGATGTTTCCCCTGTTTTCCATTTCTAAATTCAAATTTGCTGTGGTAGGCTGCATTCAGGTGTCTACCCTATGCTGCCATCTTGGTTTCTCCATCTAGATTTCTTATGCTTTCTAGATGCATTTATCCAATGTGGATAGTTAATAGTTCTAAGTGTAGGTATTGGGGGAGGGACTAGAAAAACATAAGATATGGTATCCATCATATTTAATATTTAATCATATAAATTATTTAATATTTTTTAATTAAGGAAGTCAAACATAACCAGAGCAGCTACTGTAGAGCAATGTGAGGGAGCTGACTCAGTTAGGACCATGGTAAGCAAATTGCAGCTCGAGAGCCACATGCGGCTCTTTGGCCCCTTGAGTGTGGCTCTTCCACAAAATACCACGGCCTGGGTGAGTCTGTTTTGAAGAAGTGGTGTTAGAAGCAGTTTAAGTTTAAAAATTTGGCTCTCAAAAATTTTTAATCATTGTACTGTTGATATTTGGCTCTGTGGACTGAGTTTGCAGACCACTGAGTTAGGAGGCATTTTAATGAGAAGTGGCACCTGGTTAAGGAGGGAAATTGAAGAAACTGGCCCAGATTTTATTTTCAATAGTGCACTCAGGTTACTCTCTTCATAGTAACCTTAGGATTTGAGGTTTTGTTTCTGGAAAAGAGTTTCAATGTGGTTTTATGTTATATCAAAGCTGCTGGTAAAAAAACATCAGATTATTGTTGTTTGGAAAAGTCCTTTGATAACTGTCAGCTGCAAGGGCCTCTGCTTTCTCAGCTCCAAAGTGGCTGCCTTGCTTTAGTCTAATTCTGTTGCACAAGTCATATCAGACATAGTTTTTCTGCTTTCAAAATGCTAATTCTGCAGAAAGTCATGACAAATTATATGTAATGGTTTTTGAAATGTGGAAGTAACTGGTTTACAATTCAAATAAACAAATATTATCACATACTCTCTAAATACTGGCATCATGAATGATTTTCCAAACTTTGTTGTTGGAAACATTTGATATGTGTTGCATTTCTTTGGGAGAAAATGTACTCTGTGGTGGAGTGGATAGAAAAATGGTAATGTGTGTTATTTGCTTATTTGTCTTTACTTTACACTTTATAGCTATAATCATAGACCTCCAGGGAACATATGAAATCAGTAGTTTCCTAAATTCATAATTCCTTAGGGTTAATTACAAGAGTTAACAATAGCAATTATAATTTTATTGTAACAAATTCAAAATACTACAGAGATATGGGTGATCCTCACTTCATCTCCCCAACTCTTCCTTACTAAATTCCACTTTTCAGAGATAAGCTACTACCGTAGTTGGTGTCTAAATCCTTATAAAACACACACACACACACACACACACACACACACACGCAGACACTTTTTAATTTTTTTATTGTTTCAATAAATTTAATATAAAAAACTTAATCACTTATATTGAGTACTTATTCATCAGTTCTTTTTTCTTATTTTTTAATCAAATTTTTTCCCAATTTATCTTTATTATTGAAAGTATTATAGATGTCCTCACTGACCCCTTCTAGCATGCCCACATTTCCTACCCCAGGCCTTCACACTAGCGTCCATAGGTTATGTATATATGAATATAAGTTATATGATTAATCTCTTCCCACTCACCTAATCTCCCCTGCCTTCCCTGGATACTGTAATTTCATAAATATAAGAAAAAGGACTGCATTGTGCATGGTATTATTGGCACTTTTTAAATTAACAACTCACAAACAACTTCCATGTCAAGGCATGAAAATCTGTCCCCTTCACACCTGAATAGTGTTCATCCTTGATCTAGAACAGTGGTTCTCAACCTGTGGGTCGCAGCGCCTTTGGGGGTCGAATGACCCTAAAACCATTGGAAAACACAGATATTTACATTACAATTCATTAACAGTAGCAAAATTACAGTTATGGAGTAGCAACAAAAATAATTTCATGGTTGGGAGTCACCACAACACGAGGAACTGTATTAAAGGGTCACGGCATTAGGAAGGTTGACAACCACTGACCTAGAGTCTTTCCCAGGAAAATGAGCTCAGAGAATGATAAGGAGGCCTCGTGGGCAGATGGCTGTTTAGTCTGACTCCTGTGTTCTTCTCCTTTAGTATCCGAGATTTACTGAAGTTCAAAGAAGAAGTGACCAAGGAGCGAGACCAGCTCTTGTCCGAAGTGGTGAAATTACGAGAGTCCTTAGCAAACATCACTGAACATCAGCAGGAAGCAGAGCGAAGCCGAGACGAGGCAGAGCACACCATCAATCAGGTCAGCTCTGCCAAGGAGGGCGCGATGAAGAACCGTTACCTTCCAGAAGGAGGTTTTGTCCTTCCCTGGCCTCCCTGTCTCACACCCCTGCTCCCCCATCCTACGGTGGCATCCACTGTTCTGCTTGTTTCTTTGGTTTGTTCTTGCAGGAGCAGTTCTACTGGAGCCGCTCTTCTCAGCATTGTCTGAGAAACCACTAAGGCAGGGCACTGCTCCCAGTTCTGGCCCAAGGAACTGTCCCTGGTGAAGGCCAGGGTGCCCTGCATCTGGAGATGCTGAAAGTAGTGCCCTTGATCCTTTTCCATTGTAAGGAAGCCATCTGGCTGGACCTTTCTGGACACTTCTACATTAAGCCAGAAGTCAAATAGATAATACACAGATCCCAACTCTAGGAGAAAAACGTGAGACTTTTGATTGTGAGATAAGAGAAAGGCCTTTCATTCTTTTTCCTATTTTGCAATATTTGGACTGATTTTTAGTTATTCTTCTCTAAAAATATGAAATACTAAGCAAATATAAACAGTTAAAAAATAGAAAATATATGCATAGTATAAGGAAGGAAAAATACCAAAAACAACAACAACAACAAACAGTTATGTCTCCACTACCCACCTTAGTAAAGAAAGTTCCAACTGCGTACGTCACCATTTTGCAGTCTTGGATTGCAACTTGGAGATGGGAGTGCGGGTGTGGGCATTGTGTCTGTGCCAGTGAGTGAGCAGAGTGGGAGATGGAGACAGACATAGAGACACATAGAAAACACATGGGGGAGAAAAGAGGACAAAGAGAAGGTTACTGCGTGAGGCATGTATGACCATCACTAAAAGTGTTGCACATATTCACTATGTTTTCTACAGAATTCAGTTGCGTGGTCCCTTCTAAATGGCAGGAGGACTGAAATAGGTAGTCTTTCTATGTGCCTAATATGAAAATAGCATAGTATATTCTCTGGTATACCATAAAACCTTGATGAATATTTAAATTGTTTTCCTCTATGACAATTGAACTTCCATAGATATTTTTATGTCTCTCAATGTCCATGTGCAAGAATTTTTCTAGTATGATAGCTTTTCAATAGTTTTTAACCAGGAGATATATTCTACATCATCTCCCATAAATATTGAAAACTGGGAGAGAATTTTCACCAAGAAAAACTTACTTATATGCTTTAAATTAATTTGCCAAGTTAGAACTCTCAATTTCTTATATTTCCAACCTGTGTAAACTTTAATACTAATTCTCTTCAAATTAAAAAAAACCTAAAAACTAAAAAAAAAGGCCTTTCATAGAATTTGGACACCATGATAAAGCTCTAGTGCTTTATTTAGCAATATCCAGCACTCATGTACAAAATGATTTCACATGTAGGGTAGTTGGCTACATTTAAATTTAGTTCCCATTGATGGAGAATTGGATGATCTCCTTCGATGTTCAACTTTTCTAGATTCTGGCCTTCCATATTTAATTGGATGTTATACCTACTTTGTGGATTTGTTTCCACCATCAAAGTGGATATTTGGTGTGAAGGCTCTGAAAAACAAAACAGAATTTAAAAAAAAAAAAATATTCTTTATTGTTGATAGTATTTACATATATTTCCCATTTCCCCATCTTTCCCCATTTCCTCTCAGCTCCCATCTCCTACCCATCCCACTTGTTTTTATTGATTTCAGAGAGGAAGGGAGAAGGAGAGAGAGATAGAAACATCAATGATGAGAGAGAATCATTGAATGGCTGACTCCTGCATGCCCCCTACTGGGGGATTGAGCCTGCAACCTGGGCATGTGCCCTGACCAGGAATCAAACCATGATCTCCTGGTTCATAGGTTGACGCTCAGCCACTGAGTCATGCTGGCTGGGCAAAACAGAATACTCTTGAGATGTTTTTACATGAGGGCTCAAAGATGACTGACCTGTAGGGGAAATGCTACTACAAAGTGACTGCCCTGAGAGAGGTAGAAGCTTGTCTGGTTGAGACCTGTCCTGGGGAGGCGTTCATGTCTTTCCTCCCTGTCCTTTCTGTGCCTGTAGTTCCAACAAGAAATCCAGCAACGTCAGAATGAAGCTTTGCGGGAGACTCGAAAGAAGGAAAAACTAGAGAAAGAGCTCAAGCAGATTCAGACGGACATGGACACCAGGCAGACGGAGATCAAGGCCCTGCAGCAGTATGTGCAGAAGAGCAAGGAGGAGCTGCAGAGGCTGGAGCAGCAGCTGAAGGAGCAGAAGGTGCGGGCTGCTCCTGGGGGCGGGGGGGTGGGGGGCGTGGGGGGTGGTCCTCGCAAAAACAAAACGCACCTTGGTTCATGGTTTGTTGGGGCATTTTGTATTTTCTTTGGAAAGCAGCAGATGCCCTTCACTGTAGTTGCTGGTAGTAAGACACCGAGCCCTTTGAATAGCTCTTATAGGTTGATATATGTCCTCTTTCCCCCCCACCCCCCCCAGCTTCAACAGGTTAATTTCTTTTTAACCTTTAATTTTTAAAAATACATTTTAATTTATTTTTGAGAAAGATAGGAAGGGAGTAGGCAGAGAGAGAGAGGAAAAAAAATTAACAACAATATAGATGTGAGAGATATTGATTGGTTGTTTCCTGTTCTCACCTCGACCCAGGCTTGAACCGCAACCTGAGTATATGACCTGACCAGGAATCGAACTGGTGACTTTTCAGTGTATAGGACAGCGCTCAACCAACTGAGCCACACTGGCCAGACAATCTTTTCTTAAGTATAATAACCATGGAAAAGTGCATAAGTCACAAGATACAGCTTGATCTGTTTTCTCCACTTGGCCACCTGCACTCATTCTAAGAAACAGTACTCCAGGGGGTTCCCTTTGCCCCCTCTTAGTCACGCTCTCCCCCAGAGGTCACCTCTATTCCGAATTCTAAGCAGAGATCAGAATTTGCCTGTTTTTGTACTATGAAATGATATCATACAGGATGTACTTTTTTCTATGTCTATCTTCCTTTTATCCATATTTTTCTGTGAGATTCATTCATGTTATTGCCACCTAGTTACAGTTATATGTGTTGTCCAATATGGTAAGCCATTAGCAGCATGTGGCTATTTAAATTTGTTTTAAAATTAAATACAATAAAAAATTGAGTTCCTGGGGTTTCACGAGCACCATTTCAGGTGCTCAAGGTCCAGATGTGATTAGAAGATACCATACTGGATAGCACAGGTAGAGAATATTTACACGAGGGCAGGAAGTCCTGTTGGACAGAGCTCATAGTGCACTCACTCTCATAGCTGTATAGTAGGGGTATCGAACTCAATCAGAGAAGGGGCCAAAATCTAAAATCCAGCCTAAATCGCGGGCCGAATGGTTTACTGAACAGTCATAAACTGTCACTGTGATGGAAACGCAGCGGAGTGCAGTGATGACAGCGCGGTGCGGGCCACATTGCAAGGCCTGGCGGGACGGATTTGGCCCGCGGGCCTTGTGTTTGACATATGTGCTGTATAGTATTCCACTGTGTGAATATAACATAGTTTATTTTTAACAGGTTTATTTTTAAGGTTCAAGTTTAGGGAACCATACTCAAGTCGTTATGCACTTTAAGGCCCTTTTTTTGGGTAACATTTCCCCTGTAATAGTGGTGTAAGGTAACTTAGCAATAACTCTAGTCTGTCATTTCTCATTTCTTAAAGAAGCAGTTCATGTAATTGAAAAAAAGTCATTTATTGAAAATATTTTCTCTGAGGAAGTTTCCAAAGAATTGTCAAGCCATATAGCATTTTTCTATTTAAAAAAATAGATATTAGAACACATTTCTTTGTCAGTTCGCTTTATTTATTTTATACAGAGCCAGAAATAAAATAGATAATAAACAGTATATGGTATCCTCAAGAAAAACATGAGACTTCTTTGAGCGTGGGATCCGCGAGAATTTTGGACATCATGATAAAAACTATAGTGCTTTGTTTAGCAATATCCAGAACTCCTGTAAAACAGTTTTATTTTTAGCATAGCCAGCTATATCTTATTTAGTCCCCATTGGTGGGAAATTGGAAGGATTCTTTTCATGTTTAACTCCTGCTTGCATGAAAGCTTTATTGACCCTTGAATGACATTGTTTGAACTGCATGGGTCCATTTGGATGCAGATGTTTATCAATATACAGTTGGCCCTCCTTACCTGTTAGTTTCACATTTGCAGATTCAACAAACCATGGATCAAAAATAGTGTTTCTGATCCATTAGGACCCTGCAGTTGAGAATCCTCAGTTGGAGAGGGCTAACTGTATGCGTTGTTTGGTGCCATTTTATATGAGGGACTTGAACATCCATGATGTTGGTATTCTAGGGGATCCTGAAACCAATCCCTAGTGGATATTGAGGGGCAACTGTAGTTAAGTTTTCGGGGAGTCAAAAGTTACACGTGGATTTTCAGTTGTGTGGAGAGGGTGCCTCTAACCCTCACGTTGTTCAAGGTCTTTCTCTTTCTGTTCTTCAGGCGATTTGATATCCTTCCATCTCCCCAAATTTCTCCCAATAGAAACGGCATCCTAAAATCTAATCCTCTCTTTCTATAAAACCTACAGTCTAGGTGTGTGCGAGGAAAAGCCAGCTGACACTGAAGTCAGGCTGATAGAAACCAGCCCACTGCCATTCCACAGTTTTGACTTAAGTTGGATTAAAGGGGAATTGTGTTGGTGTTAGTGAATGGTTCTGTTCCAGAAAAGGTAGCGGGCATGTTAATGCAGGATTTGCTTCTGAAGAGGTAGCTTGGGAGCCTCACAGCAGATAAAACTCGTTTGAATCCCTAGCTCATTTGCAATGATTATAGTAATTGTTGTGTACGCATAGGCTGCTGAATGGTATTAAAATATTTATCCACCACCTGTGAACAAGACTTCCCAAGGCTCTCAGAAAAAAAAAAAGTTCTCTCCGTGTTATTCATTATAAGGCGTCCTTTTCCTCTTCCATTTACCTGTAACATTCATCATTTCTGAGTGCGTTAGAGCTTTCACGGGGATAAAGAACCATTTCCACAAAGACAAAAATAGTGGGGCTTCCTGTGTGGAGACACAGATATTGTGATCAGATAAAAAAATTAACCAGCTCATTCTACCTCTTTCAGATATTGAACGAGAGAGCTGCAAAGGAACTGGAGCAGTTTCAGATGAGAAACGCTAAACTTCAGCAAGAGAATGAACAACACATTTTGGTTTGCGAACAGCTATCCCAGGAAAACCAGCAGAAGGCATTGGAGCTCAAAGTAAGCATCAAGTGACACTTCAGTTGCCCAGCACTCCCTCCTTCCTTCCCTATATGTTTGCTGTGCGGTCGGAGCTCTTGGTTCTAGAACCTGAATCATCCTTGATGCATCAGACAGGTGCTAGCCTACCATGATGGCTTTGTGCCTGGAAGCAGATAGTGTGATAAGTTCCATTCTTACTTATAAAATTGCAAACCTAATTATTGATCATAGATTATGCAAATGCTTTCCAAAGCGAGCTCAGCTGTTCATCTCTGCAACTTAGCCTGGCAAGCCACCGGTTGCCGAGAGCTAGAAACCATTTACACGAGCGAAGAGCAAAGGAGTCAGATTGCATTTTATTACTTGTGTGGAGAAGGTAGAATGAGCAGGGTGGGGGATGGGCTGGTTCTATTAGGTATTTACTTCTAGGATTGTAGAAGTATGATATTCACTCTGTCCAATGCAAATTTTAAGACAGGGCTCCCATTCTTCCTCCCTTTCTCCTGAAGGGTGCTTATGAGTTAAGTTTCAACAACAACTTTATGCTGGGTACATGTATTATACCTACATGCTTACTAGAACAGAAAATTCTGAAAACTCTAAACCCCATTATGTTGTTAGAATATTGGTTATAAAATGACTGACCGATCAAAAGTAATACTTAAGATTCGAGCAATGAATTATACAGTTTCTGCATCACAGGCCCTTCTGAGAATCTAACAAAAGTATATGATCAGGCACGTGTGTGAGCGTGCACGCGTGCACGCACACACACACACACACACACACACACACACTCACGTGCACACACACATTGCACATCTTATATCTTGTTTTGTATGTAGTCTCAGAGGTCCCCAGGATTTTTCTGAAGTCTGACTCTGGGGTCTGGGTGCATAATTATTGAATTAGAACACCTTATTATTGCAATTAAAAGGGGATTTAAGTCAGTTAATTTGGACCCTGCAGGACCTGAGGCTGAGGAACATTTAAAAACAGTCCAGAATGGTTTGACGCAAAAGCATTCTCTAGGAGAATGCTGTAAGTTAAAGCAGAAATGAAACGACTACTTAAGGCAAAATAATATATTAGCCCCTAAGGTGAACTTAAAGTAAAATTACTTATGCCATTAATTCTCTCTTTTGATAACACGACTGGGGCACCTTGAGAGATGATAGATTTTTGTTAAGGGATCCTGAACCGAGGGCCTTCAACTTCTCCCAGTAACCTGAGGATAACATGCCCAGCTAGGTTCAGTCTCTTCAGTGGCAAGACCTGGGAATAATTCCCAACCTTTATTTGCAGACGTGTCACTGGTTGCTTTCCCAGTAATTTCTAAAAGTGACAAAATTTTGAAAAATGAATTTAATTTGAATGTAAAAAAAATTCATAAAACTTGAAGCCCATAGACAAAAATTTACTGCTTTTCTTTGCTAGACTTATTGTTTTGGTACCTTTGGGCATTATGTAGATTTACCTTTTAATATTGCCCTGTCATCTGTCTGAATATACACCCACTGGCTGCCAGCCTCTTAGGACGGAGGCCCCCTCCTCTTGTGGATATAATTGCATGGCCCTCTCCTCTTGTGGCCATGTGGGTCAAACGAGTATTTGAATACTTTATGGCATGCTAATAACCTTCTGAGAGAGATCACTTTGTGAGTCTGTGAAAACGCTAATCGAATATAGCATCTGTAACACAAAATCCACACATTTGTGATACACACAACTCAGCATTCAGTGGTGCATTGGGACATCAGGTTTAATCTGTCTTTTTATTATTTTTAGCTTATATAGCCACATATTTTATTCAGAGAATAGAGTTTTTCAATTTCCCTCAAAACCAAACAGTGTGTGTTTTGATTTAGTCCAATAGAGTAACTTCACACTGACAGAGGAAGAATTTTCTCTTATTGGTTCTGAGTGTACCATCCCCCAGTCACCCTTTATTTACCGAATGTCCCACTGGCTAATTCTCTCTAATTACAGGCCAAAGAGGAAGAAATTCATCAGATGCGCACTGACATTGGGAAGCTCAACAAAGTCAGGGAGCAAATCCATAAGAAACTACACCAGATTGAAGACCAAAAGGCAGAAGTAGAACAGCACAAGGACACTCTGAAAAATCAAATCTTGGGATTAGAGAGAGGTAAACCAAGGATTATTTTGTTCTTTTAAAAATACATTTATAGACATTTCGTTGGTGACTCATGTCATTTGGCAACTCAGGGCTCCGTATGTACAGACACAAACCATGCCAGATGAAATCAGCAAAACCACGTCCAAACTGGTGGGTGGGCAATATGGAGGGGACATCATTAGGAATTCCTTAAAAATCCTTCAGCAGACTATCTTGGTACACCGTCAATCCAGCCCAAAGTATTGCTCAGTATCTATCATGGAGTAAGTGACATCTATACTGTTAGGTTTGGGATCTACGTGACCTTTAGCATTAGTACCTTTCTCACCGAAGATAGGAAATCAATGAAAATGCATGTCCCCCATCAGCAATATTTGAGGCAATACTGTACCAAGGATCAGTGGGACGGAAGTAAATGGCTTCTAATTTCTTTTCTCTGTTAGTACTTTACCGTCTGGCAAACACTTGTTCTACCAGTTCTCCCATTGGCCTGTGGAGGCAAAATTTAAGTGCCATGGAAGGCCATCTAGTACAGAAAAATCACTATGGATACAGACTCTGGAGTCACGTCTGCCTGGGTTCATATCCCACCTCCACCATATTTAGGTCTTGGGGGATGACATGAACTAATACACATAAAACATGTGGGGCCAAGTGCCTAGCACATAATAAGTGCTTACTCAATCTCATCTATTATTATCTAGGTATAGTACTATGTATATAGTCGTAGGACAGACTAGGATATCATTCTGAAAATAATATAATTGAAAATAGAGGAAACTAGTCAAATTTGGGGTGTCTGAAAAAGCTCTGGACTTGGAGGCAGAGGATCGGGTCTGAATTCCGATACCAGAATATGTGAGGCAGGAGCACCAAATTCACTCCCAGGGGGTGCTGTGAGTCATAAATCACCAAAAAACATACATCTAGGTAAAATCTAAATCTCCAGGTAAGATTATTGGAAATACCAGAGGCCCAGCGCATGAAATTGTGCGGGACCCAGAGTCCAGCCCGCTGCCACTGCGGGACCCAGAGTCTTTCCTGCCGCCACCACGGGACCCATCAGTGCACCTCCTGGTGACTGGTCGTTTGGGCGTCCCACTGGCCTTTATATATTAGATATGTCATGTAAGCCTTTGAGAAGGGCAGCTATTTTTCCTTCTAAGACATCAGGAAAAAAACTTTTATCTTGACAGTTTCTCCATTCACTTATTCTTTCATTCCGTAAATTGGATGCCTACTATGCACAGGCAGTATGCTAGGCATTGGGTGCATGGAGGTCCCTGCCCTCAGGATGCTTTAACACGGTTTAACAATCCAATGTGACAGATAGGAAGGAAAATGGATCCTGAGAGCTTGTTTTGCAACGGGCTTAGTGACTTTAAAAACACTCCTCTATTTAAGTTTCTGTGTTTTTGCTTGCAGTAGTTCTAAGCTTTGAAAATAAATTACATATTTAGTGTTGAGCCCAACTCTTCATACTGAAATCATGTTCATAGAGGTCTTCACACGCTCTCTTCTTGTTAGTTTATAGATATCGTTAACCATTATTTCTTCTTAGGGAGCTCTTCCTTTTGATCTGCTTGATCAAAGAGTGGCATTAGACATAATGATTAGGAGGATGAACCCTCCATTTATTTGTGTTTTTTTTTTCTATCACAAAACCCAAGAAATTAACTGAGAAACTGCCAGAACTAATGGAAGTTCAATAGGTTGGCAGGTTATAAAATAAATATATAGATGTTTATGGCTTTCTTTCATACAAAGAATCAGTTAGAAAATATGATGGAAAAATAGCAGCTAAAGTAATAAAATATCTATGAATAAAGTTACCAAGATATCTGTAAGACCTATATATAAAAAGTGCAACAGAATTCTCTTGAGAGGTGTAAAGGTAGACTTGAAAAATGGAGAGATATACCAAGTTCCTGGATTAGAAAACCTAATGTAACAATAATAGAAATCTGTCTAAATTAATCTGTATATTTAATATGAATATTTCAGTGAATTATATTGCTGGGTCTTGAAAACGGATTCTAGTGTTCTCCAGAAGAATAAACATGTCACAATAGCCTTGCTATTCTGGAGAAGAGTGATAAGGGAGCATTTGCCTTGCCAGGTATTTAAGTGTATTATGTAGCTCCAATAATTAAATGGTATAGTGAAGATGTCTAAGAGATCAATGGAAAAGATTGGAAAGACCACAGAAAGATCCAAAATTTTCATTTAGGGTAAAGGTGTTGTTTCATACAACTGTACAATATAGACTGGTTATTAAAAAATGGTAGTATGTTAATAAGTTACTTTTTTTGGGGAAAAGTTGACACCAAATGTAGAAACTATAAATCCAAGATTGAGAGATTTAGTGAAATAATAGCTTTTTTTTTTTTTTTTTTTTTTTTTTTTTTAATGTACTAAAGCACATGTGTCAAACACAAGGCCCGCGGGCCAAATCCATCCTGCCAGGCCTTGCAATGTGGCCCGCACCGCGCTGTCATCACTGCACTCCGCTGCGTTTCCATCACAATGACAGTTTATGACTGTTCAGTAAACCATTCGGCCCGCGATTTAGGCTGGATTTTAGATTTTGGCCCCTTCTCTGATTGAGTTCGACACCCCTATACTAAAGGATTTAGGAAGGCAAATTGACCAAAATATTGTCAGTTAGTGTCAGTATCCTTATTATACATAAAGAGTTCTTAAAAACCCACAAAAGGGATAAACAATTAATGAGAAAAACGGGCAAAGGTTAAAGTGTGGGCAGTTCGAAAAACAAATACAAATAAATAATTAAATGTGAAAAAGTAGTCAACTTCACTACAAGACAAAGAAATATAAATTAAACACAGGCATACTGGTTTTAATAATCCATCACATTGTCAACGATCAAAGAGAATGATAACAACCAGTGGTGGTTTGCATGAGGAATTACGGTAAATTGCTATTAATTTTTTTTGGAGAGAAATTTGGCAGTAGGAGAAAAATGTCTCTCTTTTTTTTTTTTATTCCTTTTGTTTCAGGGCTTCCACTTCTATTATAGAGTAACAAATTAAAAAAAAACTTTTACAGGATCATTGCTAAAAATTTCAAATAAGTAAATAAAACGGAAGCAGTTTAAATGTTAAGAAGGGGAATTGGCTCAATAAATAACACATTTTCATCTAGAGAAATATGCAGTAATTAAAACTGATGTCGATGCACATTTATAATATAGAGAGGCATTTATTTTATTTGCTAATTGTAAAAACAAGTTACAAAACAATATGTGTAGCATGATTACTTTGGCATGCATATATATTTATAATGATACACACATGTAATTTGCATAGGAAAAAAATCTGCAGACATCAAAATCCTAAACAGATTGCAGTTGATTTGAATTCATTTCTTTTTGCTCTTTGTGTTTCTAATTACTTGTATAATAAGAAGGATTTAAAAAGAGCAAGGACTTTTCAAGTCAGAGAATCTGTGCTCCCAATTTCAGCCCTGTTATCTCCTAGCTGCAGATCCTTGTCATGTAGCTTAATCTCTCTAGGCCTCAGTTTCCATCTGTCTAGTGCTGTGGTCAGCAAACTGTAGCTCCCGAGCCACATGAGGCTCTTTGGCCCCTTGACTGTGGCTTTTCCACAAAATACCATGGCCTGGGTGAGTCTATTTTGAAGAAGAAGTGCTAAAGGAAGTTTAAGTTTAAAAGCTTTTACTCTCAAAAGAAATTTCAATCGTTGTACTGTTGATATTTGTCTCTGTTGACTAACGAGTTTGCCGACCAGTGGTGTAGTGAGACAGGAAGATCTTCCTCAGTTATAATGAAGAGTGTATTACAGTTAAAAAACAGTAATTTTATAGCTATAGATAAATATGTAAAGCAAGTTTTATATCACTTTGGTGTGGGCATATTCTTTTTATTTTAAAATGTTTTTATTGCTTTCTAGAGAGAGGGGGAGGGAGAGGGAGAGAGAGAAACATGGATGAGAGAGAAACATTGACCAGCTTCTTGCACACAACCTGGGCTTGTGCCCCGACTGGGAATTAAACCTTATGGTTCATGGATCTATGCTCAACCACTGAACCACATTGGTCTGGCTGGGCAGATTTCTTTTTAGGTTGATTCCATATTTATCATTATTTTTCTCCCTGGTGATTTAGAGGTGGAGGTGTCAAAGAAACAAGCAGAATTTGATAAGAAAGCCATGGATGAGCTTCTGAGAGAAAGGGACATGTTAAATAAGGTGAGTTGTTACAGTAACACTGGTAAATAAATGCCTTTCTTTAGCTGTAATAACTGCCTATATCAGGTTGTATGGGGAAAGGACACTCTGAGGCAAACAGTAGTAGATTAGAATAAATAATAGTGCTCAATTTTCCTCTAAGGAGTTGTCTGCAGTCCAGCATTTACTGGCTGTGAATTGAAACTACATTATCACCAATGAACACAAAGGAATTTTGGAGCATTATCATGCAAACTAGCAGGGGGTTTCAGAGTGTTTTGTGGATTCTGTTTTTATTGGTAGTGTGTTATTTGGCATCCCAAACTGCCCAAGTCATTTAAAGTATCTGAGTTTAATATCTGTGATCTGTAATTTTTGCTAATCTAGACAGCAGAGCTGACTGCTAATAAAATTTTAACTTTGGGATGCTGGAAAAAGGGATGGTGATATGAAAGTCTCTAACTTTGCCTCCATCTTTTCAGGATTGTTGTAGGTTTTGGGTTTTGTTCTCTGCCCTTCTTTCTCCTACTCTTTGAGGGCAGTATGGCCAAAAGCTAAGGGAGGGGTTGGGAGAGCTTGAGGCCTGGAGATCCTTCATTCCAGGCAAGACCCCTACCCTTTTCCTCCTCTTGCCTCTTCCAAAGGATTCCTTCTATTGACAGTCACTCTTAGGAGATTAACTACTTTCAGGGTTATAGGAATAACTTTACTCCTCAAGAATTTCCTTCGAGGAGGAAAAGTGATTGGCCAGGTGCAGAGTGGGCAGGCTGCTTCCTAAAAGCCCAATGGCTTTTGGCCAAGACAATCTCATCTCATCCAGGTAGATACAGCCTATATTTGTTCATTCTGACTTTTTGTGATTTCTTTAAGTTTCCCAGAATTGAACAATTGTTAATAAAATAGATAACCTTGTAGACTAGTTAGGGAATCTCAGGAAATAATAGATTAGACATTATTACATGCATAGCACTCAGAAAAATCATTGAGTCTCCCCCCTCCCCCACCCCAATAATCCTGGAAACTGTTCCTTCTATAAATTTGTACATGCAAACACTATTGTTCGATTTAGATTTTTTTTTAAATCAATCTTTATTGTTCATATTGTTACAAAGGTTCCTCATTTCTTCCCCCCTCCACCAGGTTCCCACCCCACCCTCTGCCCCCTCCCCATCCCCCATTGTCCTCATCCATAGGTGCAGTTTATGTTCAGTCTCTTCCTCCCTCTCTTTCCCCGATAGTAAATCCCTTTTCAGATAGTAAATCAGTTACTTAGCATTTTCTCATATCAATAATACCACCACATGCCCAATGATACATTTCACACAAAAGACATTTCCAAATAGGTCAACCAGCCTCATCCACGCCCCACCCAAGGCTCTCACAGATCAACACCCCAGCCCTATACTAACTCAACATATTCAGATCTAAGCCTTCATCACTTGATTCAGCAGACCCTCAAGTTCCCACAAAAGTTTCCACCCATGTCTGAGAGGTAGCCGTGAGGCAGGGGCAGGCGAGGAGTGAGCTGCTCCGGGCCTGGCCTCTGTTGCTCTGGTGCGTTCCACAACCAGCTGCTCCGGGTCTAGTCACCACCGCTCCCGACTTAGTTGCTCTGGACCTGGCTGCTGCTGCTCCGGGCCTGGCCGCACCCGACCCGGCTGCTCTGGGCCCAGCTGCTCCGGGCCCGGCTGCTCCAGGCCTGGCTGCTCCCAGCCTGGCAACCGCTGCTCCGGGCCTGGCTGCTCCCAGCCTGGCAACCGCTGCTCCTGGCCTGGCCACTCCCAGCCTGGCAGCCGCTGCTCTGGGCCTGGCCGCTCCCAGCCTGGCAGCTGCTGCTCCGGGCCTGGCCGCACCAGACCCGGCTGCTCTGGGCCTGGCTGCCCCGGGCCCGGCTGCTCCGAGTCTGGCCGCTCCCAGCCTGGATGCTCCGGGCTTGGCTACTGCTGTTCTGGACCTGGCTGCTCCCAACCCGGCTGCTCTGGGCCCGGTTTCTCCGGGCCCGGCCACTCCATGTCTGGGTGTTCCTGGACTGGCCACCCTGGCCTTGGCTGCCTCCGCCTCAGGCCTGGCTGCCACTGCCCCAGGTCTGGCTGCTCCAGTGCTGGCTGTTGTTGCTCTGGTTCTGGCTGCTGCTGCTCTGGGGCCTGGCCGTTGCTGCTCCGGGCCCAGTTGCCATTGCTTTGTGCCTGGGCACTCTAGGCCTGGCCGCCGCTGTTCCAACATTCTGTCCTTTTTTTTTAAAAAACGCATTTATGTTGCAATGTTGGCTGGTGAGTTGAGTTCTGACTTAGTCTTTGATTTTTCAAGATCTTCTTTGTATTCTTTCTTAAGTAATTTTACTATCTTTTGTTCTCACTTGATGTCTTCACATTGAGAACTTTGGTTTCTTCCTCCTTGTCCTGGGAGCTCAGCAGGTTGGCCTGTGGCACCCCTTTGTTCTCCGCGGGCTCCCGCGCTGCTCCAGCCTGTTGCCGGGGTCGGCGCCGCCCAGGAAGCAGCCCCCGGCCTTGACTCCGTTGCCCGCGCTCAGAGGTCGATGACTCAGGGGCGCCCCCCCCCCCTGGGGGCCCCGTCACCTGGCTCCCTGCCGGTGCCCGGCTGGCTGGTGTCCGGCAGGGGCTCCTGCTCCCTGTCGCATTCCTCCAGTCTGGAGCTTTTTTTTTTCCTCCTTCCCGCTAGGGGAGTCTAGGATCAGAGTCAACAGACTGTCCTCTGCGCACAGTGTGCGGGACTCTGGGGGCTCCGCTTTTCGCCACTCCCCTGGGATTCCGCCTCACAGCCCCGTCTCCCCCTGCCCGAGCCTGAGTCCTCAGGGTCTGGTCCAGGACTGGGGTTCAGAGCAGTCCGGACTGAGGCTCAGCGCCGCCGGAGGCTTTGTTTCTTCACGCTAGGGTAATCCAGCATCAGAGTCAACATTCAGTCCTCTGCGTGCAATGTGCGCGCGACTCCGGGGGCCCTGCTTTTCGCTGCTCGCTTGGGATTCCACCTCATAGCCCCATCTCCCCCGCCGGAGCCTGGGTCCCCAGGGTCTGGCTCATAACTGGGGGTCAGTGCTGCCGGTTCAGGGGTTTAGCCCAGGTTGGGGATTTTATTTCCTTCCTGCTAGGGAACGCCAGGCAGCACCCAGCCCTCTCCTCCTCTCCGGCTGCGACCTTTCCACGCGCGTGTGCGTGCGAGCGCGCAGCATGTCTCCGTACCTTAGGCTTTTTTTCAGCTCCTCTGATTTTCCTTCTGGTTTTCTCTTTCCTTCTTGTTGTAGAATTTTCAGTCAGTCGACTACCTGTAGCTCTGGGCGATGTCCACTCTACATTTTAGTTGTATTCCATTGAAATTGTTGTGTGCTGCTGCTGTTAGGTGTCTACCCGAGCAGCCATCTTGGATCCTCTCCGATTTAGATTTTTAAATGTATTTTTAACACATAATATTTAGTCCATTTGCATTTTATATACAGTGATATTCTCTAGAGCTCATCTCAAAAACAAGGCATCTAATTATTTTAGGGTTGAGGCAGGGGGTACATCTAACTGCAAATATCCAAACACTTTGAGTAATGGGGATGCTCTCTTGTCCTTATTTTTAGAATATGCTCAAGGCAATCCACGCGACCCAGAAACAGGTAGACCTGGTGAAGCTCCATGAACAAGCCAAAAGGAACTTGGAGGAGGAAATCCAGAACTACAAAGATGAGGCTCAGAAGCAGAGAAAGATCATCTTTCAACTGGAAAAGGACAGGGATCGGTACATCAACGAAGCCAGTGACCTCACCCAAAAGGTAAGCCATTCCTTGATGGTGTGGGTGGGAGTGGACACCGCACATTCTTTCTGATTGTCACATTTCTTTCTTTTTTACATTTTTTATTTTTCTTAATTGTATTTATTTTTGATTCGTCCTCACCCAGAGATATTTTTCCTATTGATTTTTAGAGACAGTGAAAGGGAGGGAGGAAAAGAGAGAGGGAGAAAGAGAAAGAGAGAAACACCAATGTGAGATAGACACAGCAATTGGTTGCCTCCGCCATGCTCCTGGCCCTGGCACGTTCTCTTGACGAGGAATTAAGCCCATGACTCTTTAGTGTGTGGGCTAACGCTCTAACCAGTGAGAAATACCAGCCAGGGCCCTAATGGTCACCTTTGCGATCGGCACACTGTTGCAAAGGCGATTTATTCAGATTTCAGCTTGTGGTTTACATGAAGATTTAAGAGGAATGGTATTGACTGTATAAAAGCTACCCCAGAGCTGATCCTGAGCCAAACAGTGAAATGGGCAAGGCTTATGTTTGGTGCTCTATCTTTCCCTTTCTGGTCCTCTGTCCTAATTTCCTGGTTCTCCATCTTCCCTGCTGCCATACTGAGAAAAGCATCTAATTAAATGACCTCAGATCAAGAGTTAATACTGGCATCAGCTAAGTGTGTCACACATTCAAAGAGCATTTTTATTTTAAAACTATTGGGAACCTAAAACTTCACCAGTAATGGAATCCTCCCATTGTGTAGCTGAGTTTCAGATTCTACTTCCAAACTGCTTATGAGGGAGAAGGCTCCGGCAGTATCCTCAGGCAGGACTTCAGGGATTGAATGTTACTTTTAACCACTCACCCTAGCATATTGCCTGCATGAAGCATGAGTGGTTAGACAAGTATTGTTTTGGTGCATTCACAAATGGTTTCTGTGCATTCACAGATGTTTTGGTGCACTCACAGCAGTGGTTTCAGGATGGGGGGATGTTGGGAAATGAAGAAGAGTTTTAGCTATGAGGCTGAGAAGAGAGTTCTGGAGAAAAGACTGATTTAATGAGATTGTCCCTCCAGCAAAGTACTGTCTGCTATGATTGCATAGCCCTCTCTTCCATCTCAGTAAAACCTGCAGTAAATTCTACAGTGTTTACTGGTGCTTTTGCATGTTTAAATTTTGCTTTGTTATTTTTTTTTTGTTTTGTTTTGTGTGTTTTTTTAGGTTTTTTTTTTTTTTTTTTTTTTTTTTTTTTTTTTTTTTTTTAGTAGAATCTCCAAGATGACAAGGAGGACAGCCAACATTTGAGTCATAAACATAAAGAAAGTGGGAAACAAGCTTTATAACTTCTTTCAATTTAGGCCAAATAAATGCTGAGCAAATATTTGCAGAATATAAGTTTAGGGAAGCACAAATGCATATGATCCATCCAGCTTCCTACCCCTGATTGGGAGCCTCTGGCATTCAGCACATTTCTTTGCTGACTTAATCATCTTAGAAGTTCCCTGAATTGATTTACTGAGAGGACTACGGTAGTTGTCAGTTCAGGCATTCATATTCTCTGGCTTAGGCTAACCCAGTGGTCGGCAAACTCATTAGTCAACAGAGCCAAATATCAACAGTACAACGATTGAAATTTCTTTGAGAGCCAATTTTTTAAAACTTAAGATTCTTCTAATGTAACTTCCTCAAAATAGACTTACCCAGGCCGTGGTATTTTGTGGAAGTGCCACACTCAAGGGGCCAAAGAGCCGCATGTGGTTCGGGAGCAGCAGTTTGCCGATCACGGGGCTAGCCCATTGGCCTCAGTATCTGTCAGTGTTAGCTGAATGGTTTACGGCAACAAAGGTCCATTTTTGCTCACAGTAGTGGCCTTTGAGGGTCAGCCGCAGCCCTGCTTCTTGTCCTCCTCACTTCAAGAAGGGAGGACGTGCTGGGCTCTCCAGAGGGAAAAGAGTGTAACTGTGGACCTTCAAGGTGCTCTCGGAGCTTCTGCTGGCAAAGGAAGGGCACAGGGCCTGTCCACTCATATTCCATTGGCCAAAGCAAGGCACATGGCAAAGTATAGGATTATGTATTTTTCTGATCCTATTTCCTGGGCGGGAGGGTGACCCCCCTAAAGGAGGGGCTTATATGGTCAGACACTGAATGTATCGGAACCTATAATTCGTTGCAGCCTCTTACTTCTCCTTCCTGGTAATCAGTCTGTCTCCATTCCTGGCTGCCACCACACCATCAGAGCTAACTGCTAAAAATCCCAATGTAGTCTTATAATTATTCCTGGCCCTACCAACCTATGTCACCTCTGAGCCATCTTGGGTAGTGCTTCCTAACATTTTTTGCATCACAACATTCAAAGAAAACAATGCCTTTGGCAGGTGGAAATAAGGAGGATGAGACAGGGCTGGAGGGGATTAACCCAGGGATCAGAGCTGCCTAGGTCCCACCTCACCTAGCCATCTAGGGTAGAGTGAATCAGTATTCTTGTATATACCTGTCACCCATGCAAGACAGCAATTGGTATGCTCTGACTTAAAAGACAGAGTCCAAGCCCTTTGTTTCTCCCTAGAAAGTTCTTCTTCCCCTTCTCTGCATGGAAAACTCCTATGCATCCTTCAATACCTAGCTCAAATGTTCATCTCTGTGGTCAAGCCTGCTCTGACTGCCGAGGCAGAGCTAGTCATTTCCTACTCGATGGATTTGTTTATATCTCTGGGATGGCAGTTATCATCCTCTAGTATAATTATTTCCTTGCATATTTGTTTTCCCTACTTTACAGTGAGCTCTTGGGAGCAAGGATTTTATCTCATTTACTGTTTCATTCCAGCATGCTGGTAAATAGTAGGCACCAAAACAGTGTTTGTTAAACAAATGGATAGATGATGTGTGATAAAAAGAATGCTGCCACTAGTTTCAGTATAGATTATGTATTTTTCTGTTTCCTTGCAAAGGAGAGATACTAGTACCAAGTCTGGCTGATAACTGTTTATCACAACTTTTCTGATGTTTAACTGCACAAGATTATACAATGTCTCACCTAAATAATTTAAACAGTGTTTTAAGTCCTTAAAATATATTATCAATTATAATTTTTCTATCTGTTACTTAATCCCTGATAGCATATATCAGTTGCTATAGCAACTTGTGTCCTCTCTGGACTTCTTATCAAGGACATATATGTCTTTTTTGTTCTTCCTCATATTTTTGTCTCTTTTCCCCCACCTCCTCTCTCTCTCTCTCTCTCTCTCTCTCTCTCTCTCTCTCTCTCTCTCTCTCACACACACACACACACACACTCACACACACACAACACCACAACCCCTTATTTCCTTATTTGAATAAGCAGAAAGTTGCCTTTCATGCATTCTATTTATAGGCAATTGAGGGATAATGTCAGGTGCTGAGGATGATGTCATGAAGCTGATATTTTCATCTACTTCTAGAGTATACACTGTCCAAAGTTATTCTTTTGATCCATCAATTTCTTTAAAAATTGAATCTATGGAAACATAAGACATGGAAAGATTTCTATAAAAGAATATTATTCAAAATAAATTGTGCTACATGTATTTGATACAGTATTATGTACCATTAAAACCATGTACATTAAATGTTAGAAAAACATTTAAAAAAATGGGACACATGCTTACAATATGAATCTGATAAAAACACAATGCAAAATTGTACAGGTCGGGTTTACAATGGTTTGTATGGGAGATAAAAGTAGGTTTACAATGGTTTGTATGGGAAATGAAAACTTTTGACAGCATCAAACACTAAGGCAGACATAGAGCCTGATGCTGAAGCAGAAGAAAGGAGAATGGATGAGAATTTTAAAGCCAACAGAGGTGAACTGAGAAAATCTATTTGGACCTCAACTCACGGTCCCTTGAATTTGCTTCATAAAAGAGAAGAGCTAGAGAGATGCTTCAGAACTCTCCTACCATCTCTTCCCCTACTCAGTGTCTACACTGACCAAGTCATTCCACCTTCCTGCTAGTCAAGTGCTTGTGCCCAGCCAGTGGGACAATGGTGGCCAATCCAAAGAATGGGGAAGGCAGGGTGAGGCTGGTGGTTGCCCAGTGCATTGTGGGGATGGCGGTTTAGGGATGTGGCAGGGCAGAGAGAATCACCCCTGAAAGTGGGACATAGAGGGAGTTACAATTGTCTGTAGGCTACATCAGCTCAGAGTGATAAGGAATAGGCATTTGGGCCTGGGGCTCCTACAATATCCCTAAATGAAAGGATACTAAAGATTGGGACATGGACAGGGCTGTCTGCACATCACCGTATTCCCACCTGTAGTTTTGAAAGTGGGTTCTAGCACCATCCTGTGATTCTAAGAGTTGAACCCACCTTAATAGAGCTGCTCCTAGGGTCCAATAAATCCTCCAGCTTCCAAGAATAAATAAGGAAAAAGGCAACTTCATGGGGTCTACGGAAAAAATATGCCTTCGAACTAGAGAAAGAGAATGGCCTCTGGAAGCCCCAGGGTAAAAGCCAGGCTCTGAAAATTCCTTTACGGGAAGATATTTAGAGGTTGAACCTCTAAAAATAGCTGTTTTTGTTTTGAAAAACATGGATGATCAGAGATTTCTTAAGTTTCAACCTAATAGAAGAAAATCATTGTCAGATTTCTTCTAAGGTAAAGGATAGTGTTTGTTTAGCAAAATACCTTGATCCTTGCATTGTTTGAAAGGCGGGGCCTAAATGAACCAGAGTGAAACAAAGAAAAGACAAGTAACAAATTGGGGAAGAGAGGAGGTTTTGGTGAGCAGGAAATGTGGAGGAGATTTGAAAGGATGAGACGATACAAACATACAAGAAATAGGTTGACAAAAGAACTTGTGTGCATGCATATGAGCCAAACCAGTGGTCATGGACAACAAGGGGGTGAGGGCATGCGTGGGGAGGGGTTTGGGATGGGAATGGGGGGATGAGGACAAATATGTGATACCTTAATCAATAAAGAAATGAAAAAAATAGTTTAATGATAATAAAAAAAGAAGTAGGTTGGACTCTTTTACAATAGAAGGTGGAGGG